CCAGGCCTGGGAGTGAGTCTGGCGGCCGCCCGGGAGAGAGGGGGGCGCCCTGGCAGCTGAAGGCCGCGGCAGCCTCCTGGGCGCTCCCGAGAGCTAGCTCTCCCTTTCCCCGTGACAGGTGGGCCTGGAGTTGGGGAAAGTTTGGAACCAGTGAGGGGCGCCGGGACCAGGCCCAGTTGGTCTGCTTCACGGCCGTGGGCTACAGGGAGGAGCCCAAGCTAAAGCCTCGCTGGAATGAGATCGAGTGGATATTTCCTTAACATGAGTTGACATTAAATGGAATAACCGCTGGGGCCTCATTTTCCGGGCCAGGCCTGAGGATGGAGGTTTGGGAAATGTTGCGAGAGACCTTGGGGTTGGCTGCCATTCCGACCTGATTAGGACAGGGCGAGAAGCGAGGAAGGGCCACTCACCTACTTAGGGAAAACTCACTTTCTCACTCTCCTTTTTCTCTTTTTTCTTTTTAAAAGATGCCTTCCTACCCTGCGAGAATTGCCTAATTCCCTCGCTAACCTGCTCTGTACGTGGGGATGAAACTTTAATTTGTCACCCTTTTGCCCCAGGCTCTCAATCCCGGAAGGGAAATTGAAACTGGAGGGGTTGTTACTAGAAATTGTGGAGTTGTTAGATTGCAGAGGAGAATGTTTGATTCGTGTTGTTAATGAACTTTAAAATCTCTCTAATCGTTCCAATAAGTACTTAATACTATATTCTAAGTAAGGGGTTGTGTGTAATGTTACATGCTCATTTCCCACTTTTAATTGAACAGAGGATTTTCAGCGAATGGTGCAAGAGTTGATCTCTTGCAAAGATGGACATATTCAAAGTAATCTGTGCATTAATTGGTCAGGGAAGGAGTTTAAAAATGGTGTCCTCCTGCCCCTTCCTGCTGGGAAGGACTGCTAAAAGCAGATGTCTAGAGTCAGAAACCTATTGCTCCAGGGAGTGGTCAGAAAGAGATTTCTTAGAGATTGTTACAGAGTTGTATTAATTTCCTGAATGAATGCAGGTTGATAGTTTTACCATGGGTTCTTTATTAAATTTAAAATGATTCCTTTTTTCACGAGCTGCTGTGGGCTCTTCAGAGAAGGGAGCTATATGGGAGTGTTACTTGGAGTTATTTGTAGCTTATGATTCATGCCATATTCTTTTGAAATTATTAATGATTCATATTTTTACTTTAAGAACTAGTTCCTGTATATTTGGGAACGAATATAGAAATAAAGAATATAGAATAAAGAAATATTGGAAAGTACTTACCCAGATTAAAAGATTGATAGTGCCCAACTATGATTTTTCTCCCCTGCTCATTACAGAGTATGCGGAGTATGAAGTTTTTTTCACCCTTTGTTAAAATCAAATCAGAAAGAGTAAGTGGCCTCAGAAGAGGGCTGCTGAACTGCTATATAACCTTCATAAAGTTAGATACCTATTTGTTGGCCGGGCCGGTGTGGTGACACATCCCTATAATCCCAACACTCTGGGAGGCTGAGGCAGGAAGATGGCTTCGAGTTCATAGGCTATCCTGGGCTACATAATGAGTTGAAGACCAGCCTGAACAACCCAGTGACACCCTGTCTCAAAAAAAAAAAATGTAGTATATTACAGTTTATCACTTGTAGCACTACATTTCCTTGAGGTCTGCCTGTGTGTGACTACTCAGTGAAATAATCACTGTGGACTTTATTTAAGATTGGTTCCTCACATTTTAGTTTTTATGATTTCACAGCCTCTCTCTTCTTTTTCATTAGAAATGATGGAAGAATTGCATAGCCTGGACCCACGTCGGCAGGAATTATTAGAGGCCAGGTTTACTGGAGTCGGAGTTAGTAAGGTGAGTAAGATGTTGATAATGAGCATTATTAATAGTATAATTTGAACACATTTTTAAAATGATTAACAGCAATTTGGGTGGAATGTAACTGACAGATTTACAGGGGGTAAGATTTGATTCATGGTCCATTGAACTTTTAAATCCTGCCAATCATCCCAATAATACATTTGAAGGCTTTCTATATGGAAACATATGTTTTTCCCCCTTCTAATGTGAGAAAGGCTTTCCAAGGGATTTGTTGCAAAGATACAGTACTAACAAGATGTATATCTAGATTCTAAGGAGATGAAACTCAGGGCCTTGGACATGCTAGGCAAGTGCTCTACCAAAGGGTTACCTCCCTAGCCCCTCTATGCTATATTTTGTTAAAACATCTCTGACACTCACAAAAATAACTTAATTATAGCATCACATAGCCTCATTACACTGGATTCTTTGGGTAGTTACATGGGAGAGTGATGAAGAACTGCTTCTGCGAGGTCTGTCAGTTCTCCAGATCTGCGGATCAGCAAATTCCTCCTGGGTGCGCCCTCTGAATGCTTTGTCACTCCTCCTATTTACCTTTGGTTCATTGTTTTTATTTTTGTTGTGGGAGTATAAAATAAGATCAAGCCCCCATTAGTGTGTATGTAGAAATTTAGGCAATGTTATGTGCATTAGTGGTGTGTGCTTACTCATCTCCTGCTAAGTGTGATATGTATATTATGATGTTTTATTTAAAAGGTTCACTGACCCAAGAGTGTCACATTACTTGGGTTTAATTCTATGTCTTATGGTAATCTAGGTTACCCTGCTTTGGTTGGTTGCTTTTTCAAGAAGCTAAGGTAGTTTTTTTTTTTTTTTTTTTACCGGGGATACTTGCTTCCACTCTGATGTCCATGACAATCTGCTATCCAGGCTCTCCTTTTCCTTAGTTTTTCTTCTTATACAAGTACTTACCTTTACTTCTTGCTCAACTGTAGTTTTAATATTTCCCCCTTCATTCTTTTCATTCATGCAGCCCTTTCTCTTTCTTTTTTTTTGGAGGGGATCAAACTCGGGTCCTTGTCCTTGCAAAGCAGGCGGTGGAGCCACTGAGCTAAATCCCCGGCCCTAAGGTAGCTTCTTTGATGGGTTTCACAACTTTGGTGAGCTGGGATAGCTTAATAGTTTTTTTTTGTTTGTTTTTTTCTGTTTTATTCAGCAGATATTGAGTGCCTACAGTATGCTAAGCATTGTGCAAGGTGTTATGGATGACACCTCAGCATAGTGTCTATATATCTACAATATGGAGAGACAGGAGAGACCATATAGTGGTGAGAGCTGTATTAGAGCTGTGACAAAGTGATACAGGAACATGGAATTAATTGCACATTAGTTCTTGATTTCTTTTGCTGTTGTAGTTAAATAAGTGACTTTTGGTGGCGAATGGAGTGGCTATGCTCCTGAGTGTTATATGTAGATTTAACTTGTACAGAGAAATTCTCTGACCTAGATAAAGTAACTTAAGAATGAAGTGAGCAGTGTATTTGGGTATTAAATGGATTCCTGATTCAGTTGATAACTTTTTTTTTTTTGGTATGAACTCAGGTTCTTGTGCTAGGGAAGCAGGTGGCAGCACCACTGAGCTAAATCTCCAGCCTCCAGTTGATTACCTCTTGATGATCTTTGATGTGTCTTTTAACTGGGGAAATACCCAAATCTGTCTATTGAAATGGTCCCTACTGAGTAAGTCAGTAAATTTGTATTCAAATTGTATATAGTTTCAACTTAATTGGTTTTGTTGTTAGGATGTTTTTCTTCTGTTTTTAGGTTCATGATGCTATGTGCAAGTATGCTTTTGCTCAAGTAGGGTATAAGTGATAGGAATGAGTGTCATTCTGAATTTTGCTGCCTAGACCTAATTTAAAATCATGTAACTAAGATGTCAGGAAATTTTAATGCAGTGACTTATTTGTTTAATAGAAAGTTCTATCTTTAACATAAAGAGAAAGATGTTCTCTGTAAAATTCATCTTCATCCAGTTTTTATGCCATTACATATTTTGATGTTTCCATTGTGGTATTCTTTTTTACAATAAATGTTATTTAAGGACTAGCAGGAAAAGTATTCTATAATAAAGAAGCTTGAAGAAAATTATTCTGTAGCTTGCAGCACTAGGAAGAATTAGAGAAACTCTTCCTAGCTTTGAGTTTTTCGTTATGGGTCATAATTTGTCAATGAAGATTTATTGTTGATGACAGCTTTCAGTTTTGCTAACTAAGATCAAGAGGTTTTAGCCCTTGCTGCTGCTCCACGAGGGAGAACAGTGTCTTACTGGTGATGGTGCCATCTAGTGGGAATGGTACAGTCTGGTGGGCTGTCTCTTGGTTTTTCCTGTTTGTAACATTTCGGTACGCACTTTTGATGTCCTTAGAAGGAAGAAAGTCAGTGCTTCTGTGGATTCCTTTCTAGTGGACAAGAGTGTTACAAGCAGCTTCAGTCTTTGAACTTCATGGTTATTGTAGATCTTCTAGATCTGTCATATTGTTTCAAGTTTCTCACAGGAAATTAGATCTACTTCATGAAACAGGCTAGAACAAAATTGCAAAATACCATGTTTATTATATTTAAGGTATTGTTGCTTATATTTATATTTTTTTTGTAAGTTTTAAATTTTCCTATATAATGCATTTATATGCATTTAGTTTTTTCTTCTTGTTTTTGTTTGTTTGTTTTTTGAGACAGGGTCTTACTATGTAGTTGAGACTGACCTGGAACTCACTATGTAACCCAGGCTGGTCTCAACTCACAGTGATCCTCCTGCTTCAGCCTCCTGAGTGCTTGGGATTACAGGCATGTGCTACCACGCCCGGCAGCCTAGTTTTGTTTTATATTAGCATATTTATTTTGTGATAATTAGCAAACAAAAATCATTTGGGGCTTTGGGAAGTACTATGTGATTATTGTTTAAAAGATTGATATTTTCTTTTATTTGTGAATTGATGATAGGGGAAAGAAGCCTAATAGGCTCTGAGAAAACTTCAGGAGGATGTGAAATTACCTTCTTAGCAGTTTTGAGGTGATAGAGTTAAATTGAATTGTGAATTTACTTCATTTCTTATTGACCTGAAATTTGAGGTATGCTACTTCTTTTTAAAAATCTCTTCCTTTAAGCACTGGATGATCCACTTTTGGTAATGTGAAAGTATCTTGTACTACACTTGATATTAGCCCAAAGGCCGAAAAGCGATGAAATTGTGTTGTTTTAGTATGTTTTCAATCAGGGCCTGTTATAGTTTATATTCCTTACTCTGTTTCCTTTTGGCAGTTTAAGAATAAGGAGGCACTCTGTGATTCTGGAGACTGTAAAGTAGGTAGAATTCTAGCCTTGTAGGCATTGTTAGTTGTACTTACTTGAATATGAACGTTAACACAGCAGCAAATACTTAAAATATTTATTATGTGCCAGGTGCTCTCCCAACAGCAACAGAAGTAATAAGAAATAAATTTAGATTAAAAAACAGGAATATTGATTAGTAAGCTTGTTTTAATCAACTCACTAGATTCACCTACCTTCTGCATTTTCTCCTTAAAAGTTACATTGACTGATGGCCATTGCATTGCTCCAGTTAGACTTGCCAGAAGTCACTTTTATTTTATATTTTTGGTGCCAGGAATTGAACTCAGGACCCTGTGCTTGCAAGGCAGGCACAGTGCCACTGAGTTAAATCCCCAGCCCCTGGTCACTTTTTAACTTGCATTCCTATTACAAGTATATAATTTAATAGAAAGTTGCATAAGCCAGTGAAATCTGATTGCAAAATGAAATTATTTTTTTCTCTGAAAAGTAACTTAATTGCCCTAGAAGGACTTAATATAGAGCATGTCAATGAGGAGATCTGTAAACAAACATATATATGTCTCCTGGGGATTGAATGAACCCAAAGTCTTGTACATGTTAAGCACTAATGTACCCTGGGCCATATCTGTAACCCTTATAACTTTTTTTAAAATCGGGAAGAATTGTTTTGTTTATTTATTTTGCAAAACTTGTTATTTTTGCTTCTTCTGTGTTTTTTTTTGAAGCAAAACATTGATACATTTTAGATATACTCAATTATAACATTCATTATAGGGAATTTATACCTGTGCTTGATGTATTTTGCTTAGAAGAATTCTTTTAGTTCATTGGCAAGTATTTTTTTAAGTTCTCACTTTACTCTTTAGAAATTGAAACTGGAAATGGTAGATGATATTATGGGTGTGGTTTGTGAGACTGTAGTCAGTGGATTTATAACTCAGAAGGCCTACTTCAAGGCAGGAGGATCGTTGCGAATTTGAGGCCATCTTGGGTTACATAGTGAGTTTAATGCCAGCCTGAAGTACCAGTACCATGTCTCAAAAAACCAAACAAGGGCTGGGGATTTAGCTCAGTGGTTCTGCTGCCTGCCTCACAAACACAAGGTCCTGAGTTCGATCTCCGGTACAAAAAAAAAAAAACCCCAAACAAACCAAAAAACCAAGGCTTACCTCAGAAGACTGGCAAAAGAATGTACATGTAGGGCTGAGAATGTAGCTCAGTGGTGGAGTGCTCACCTAGCACGTACTGAGCCCTGGGTTTGGTACCTAGCACAGAAAAAACAAAGATTTCTTTTTTACTTTTTGTAAATTTGTAAGTCTGATATATGATCACTTTATATAATCAAGTTTGATTTCTGAAAAGATGTTTTAAAAAACTGATGCCTTTGTCCAGGTCATGTAGTTAATTGCAATTGGAAAGTATCAATTAGAGATCTTTATGCTAGTTTCTCCATATACCATAGCTATTTACATTTTAAAAAACAGATTTAGGTATTTTATATTTAGTACGTGCTAGGAAATACTCAATAAATATTAAGTACCAAAAAATGGTCTGTACTTTTCCTGGTGTGTTTAAGGAGCTGTTCATAAATTTATTATTAAACTTGCCTTCATGTTGTCCTCTTTTTTTCATTCATTTTAGTATTTATGTGTGGTACTGAGCAGTGAACTCAGGGTGC